ATTAGAACAAATCTTGCATCTAACGGTGCAATGTGTTAAAACACTTTAAACATAAATGTGGCTCATTGATTTTTAGCAATTTTTGATCCTAACAGTTTAACATTTTTTTTTATAACACACCTCAGAAAATAATCGTAAATGCTGCTTTATAATCATATAATTGAAGTTAGAAGTGTGCACATACCTTACTATTATGTATAGAATGAGCAAATACTGTTTACTAATATCTTCTACACGTTTCACCAATATATTTTTTCTATATTTTTTTATACACGTTTCACCAATATATTCTTCTATATTTTTTTCTACACGTTTCACCAATATATTCTGGACGTTTCGCTTACGACGAAATGACGAATGCGAATAGTTTGTTAAAATAAACGAAGACCTGTTTTAATTTGTCGCTATCAACCGTTACTTGTCGCTATCCCTTCTTGTGTTAATGTACCCTATGATCAAAAAGTACCCGGAATTTGTCAATAAAACGAAAACGGTTCAATTATTCATCGATATTTATTTTATTCCCTTCAAAGTAATCTCCATCGCAAGCAATACACATATGCCAACGCGTTTTCCAATCTTCAAAACATTTTTTATAGGCCGATTTTGGGATCGCCTTCAGCTCCTTCTGCGAATTTTCCTTTATCGCCTCAATGGTCTCAAAATGCTTTCCCCGAAGTGGTAATTTGAGACGTGGAAACAGAAAGAAGTCACACGGGGCCATATCAGATGAATATGGAGCTTGTGGAACGGTATTGATGTTGTTTTTAGTTAAATAGTCGCGTACAATGTGAGACGTGTGCGCTGGTGCATTGTCGTGGTGGAGGAACCACGAGTTGTTTCTCCACAATTCTGGCCTTTTGCGTCGCACATTCTCCCTCAAACGCTTCAATACGCTCACATAATACTCCTTATTTACTGTTAGACCTGGTGGAAGGAATTCGAAGTGGACCACACCACGACAATCAAAGAAAACGGTCAACAAAATCTTGATTTTGGATCGACTTTGTCGTGGTTTCTTGGGTTTTGGCTCGTTTGAGAAGCGCCATTCCGATGATTGTTAGGATTCATCAGGCAAAGGTTTATGGCACGGTTGCACCTACAGGCTGTTTTTGAGATTAGGATTTAATTTACTATTTTATGCTTTAACGTCCATCCTAGCGAAGGCCGGTAGAATCACTTAATTAGAGTTTTTTGCCGCTTGTGCCTTTCGCGCTCAATAGCTTAAGAACATGCCATAAACCACGGGTTTTCCGAAGGGTACAATTGTCTGTAACGGTCCGCTGGCCGATGAGTCACCCGGAGGAATTTCCCGAATTATTATAAACATTTGACCACCCCTTGGGATCTTCTCCCACTCCACCAGGGTAAAGCGCGCTAAGGGCGCACTGGAAGGAGTTGGCGAGAAAATTAGGCACGTTGATTGGCGATGAATATTAGAAAATATTCACCAATCAGCGTATTCTTCAAGAACCACCGCTCTCGAGGGCGAAGACGAGCTCTCGAGAAGTCAGAATCAATTGATGTGTAAACAAATGAAAGATGTACCAGCCTAGAAAACAAATGATTTCGACAATATCTTCAGCGCGCTTCGTTTAAATGACAAATTCCGGGTACTTTTTGATCAGAGGGTATTTGCGATACCCTTATTGTGTTCCGTATTTCTAATTAGTACACCTAACTCCTTTAATTCATTACGTGCGCCTATAAAGTTTGTGTCATCGCCTTGAATGGATCTCACGGTAATTGGGGTGCTGAGTTCAGAGCTAAAATCGGATTGTGGGGGGCTCGCTGGTCTTCGAGCTGATGTGGCTCGGGATGATTGCATTAAAATGGTTGGTCTGGGAGGGGGTGCAATAGTTTCTTCTCGAACTTGTTCAAGTCGATGCTCTTCTAATGCACGAACAGAGGAGTTAATATTGTCAGAGGCACGATTTACTTGTTCCACGAAAGCTACAGTCTGTTTCTGATGCATTTTCTGTTCCTCCAAACTTTGAGTGAATGCAGTTATAATGTGATCTGTGGTTCTCTGGACAGAGTCTATCCGTTCAAGGCTTTGACTTGATCGTTGATCTTCTGCTCCTAAGGCCACTCCAGTGATGAAAGCATCTAAGATCTCAGGACCCTTGTGCACTCTTCCGACAAATTCACGAATAATTGAAGTTTTATTAGAGGATAACCATAAGTTTAAAGTTGGTCTGATCATAATCCAAAAATCTCTGACCGTCACAGATGAATGTTCAATTCCTCTCTTTAAAATCTTTCTTAATTTAGACTCCGGAAACATAGTATCGGGAATGTTGAATGTCAGTTCTTCATATTCTTGAATTAGGGGTGTAGAAAGAGTGCTAAGGGATGGACCAGGATCTCCAGGTTCCTTCCTTCCTTTCCTGTACATGGGTGGGAGCTCTTTAAAAGTAATAGCCTCCGCAGCTGCAGTCCACCCTTCAATTGAGTCTCGAGGCGAGTGATCATGAACATTGGATCGAAGAAGCTTAGTGCTCTTGAGATCATCATCATAGGAATCTTCATCAATGTATTCTTGACCGGGAACCGGAAATTCCGTTAAGCATTCTCCCAGACATTTCTCCATGCTTGCTGGTAGTGGAAGTCGTTGATCCATGGTAAAAGATTTATAGACAAGATAATAGAAAGAAGGGCCTCCAATAATAACACTAACTAATACTGGAATTAACTCAAACGCAAAACAAAAATAGAACAAAAACAGGAAAACTAAAACACAAACGGAAATATCCAAAGCTTATATCATCTAAGGTTTTCCCTTATTATCTCTTACAAAAACTATCGCGGTTGCCAATACCATCCAATCGACTGGATGACTTGACACATTTGATACAAGCTGTGTCGTTACAGACTCATCCTCGGTTTGTTTTGAGTTATTTACCACACCTGATTGTGTTGAGTGGAGATCTGAACGGTGCAATAACGAATGATGCTTTCTAGTGCAATGTTTACATCTACTTTGCGTACAAGATTTTACTCGATGACCAGATTCTAAACAATTATAGCAAAGTTGTGCTTCCTGAACGATTTTTGTTTTTCTGTTTGCTTCTAATTTTTTGAATTTTTCGCATTGATATAATGCGTGGCTCGCATGACAAGCGGGACACGTGCTCGAATTTATAACATGCGAGGTTGCTATGCCGTATTTCCGACTACCTGCTTGCCCGAATCGCTGATCAACCCTCGGTGCAACTACCTGCGGGGCTACCGAAACATGTTCTAAGTATTTTGCTCGTTCTTCTAAGAACGTTGAAAATTGTGCAAATGTTGCCATTTCTGTATATGGTGAGATACGCCTTTCCCATTCCCTAATGGATATGATATCTAACTTTCTGGACAGTAAAGGGATGATCAGAGCGTCCCATGTATCTACCACTTCTCCCAACGCCCTTAACGCTGTACGATGATTCGTTGCATCGTCTAAAAAGTCTCGCAGCGCGGACTCGGATTGCTTCTGAATGGATTTTAAATCTAATAAGGCCGTTACGTGGTGTCTCTTGAGTGCTGTCGAATTTTCGTAGCGTGAATTCAACAGTTCCCATGTTAATTTGTAATTGGCTTCTGATACGCCAAGAGATTGAATAACTCGCGCCGCGGATCCCTTCAGTGAAGAATTTGGATAATGAAATCGTTGCACGTCTGATAGAGTTTCGTTCTCGTGTACTAATGAGACGAATGAATCGCGAAATTTCAACCAGTCACTATAATTGCCGCTAAATGTGGGCAATTGTATTGTTGGCAATTTTACATTCACGGTTGAACCCGAGACCGCGCTACCTGTACCCGGGCTACCTGCAATTTCGCGCCGCTGAGTTGTACTGGATCTTTCAATGTGAGTTTCGATTTCGTCTATTAAATCAAAGTATGTGCTTTCAAATGTTTCTCTTTCAAGGGCGTGCGCATCTTCTATATCGCTTCCTGCTACTAAAGTTTCTATTTGCGTTTGAATTGCGTTGAACCGATCGTACAATGACGCATTGGCCGTTAATCGCTTTTTAAGTGAGCCTGCTGATGTATGAGCTGCATTTTCTCGAAAGAAATTTTGCAACCGCGTAAGCGCTGCTTTGACCAATCCGCGTTCAATTATCAAATTCTTAATTTCGGCATTCATTTTGTATTAACGCAAGAGAGTATGCTGAAGGACTTACTACTTAGGATGGGATACTAATCGGTAGCTGCTGCTGCTGCTGACTCCGTAGTTGATTCTGGACCTCGATGTCTTAGATGGCGTCTCTGCGTTGAGCCTCTGTTGTTCTGCGTCTCCTGATTGAGACACGATGAACTGCTTTCCTTGGTATTTTGCAATCGCCGACTTCAGATCTGCCTAATGGTGCTGATTTGCGTCGATGATGCGGTATTCGTGGACTGTATCTCGTTGCCAGTTGCTCGTAAATCCGGCTCGAAGGACCAAAATGTTAAGCACTTGGACACTCACTTTCCGCGTACTTACGAACATTGCACTTGGTGCCGTCTAATGAGGTTATCGTTCTCAATTTACACTAACTAACAATGTTCAGATGAATGATTTTAGTGGTTGAGACTGCTAATGAATGGATCTCGGTGATTCGAGATCCTACTAGTTAACTCTTAATGTTCGAAACTGACAGATCTTGAACTAATAGTCTGACTGATACTAAGCTAATAGTCTCTGACTGATACTGAGCTAATAGTCTCTGAATGATATTGCACTAATGGTATCTAACTGATACTGAACTAATAGTCTGCCTGATACTGAGCTAATAGTCTCTGACTGATACTGAACTAATAGTCTCTGAATGATATTGCACTAATGGTATCTAACTGATACTGAACTAATTGTAATTGAATCTCGCTGATTCCACTCTCTTTATTGGCTTGTCCCTTCTCCAAATTCTCCCAAATTTGAGGAAGGGATGCAAAGAGAGGTTTTTAAAAATGCTAATTGACCAACCCCGTATCACCCCCTTCCATTGCGCCCGGAGCGCGAAATGTCCTTGAAGCGGGGGTGACGATGATGGTCGTTGCGAAGCGAAGTTTGGCAACAAGGGGGAAAATCCAGCCAGGTCAACGCTGACTTTCCGTCTTGCTCGGAAGGGAGTTTACCAAGTGGCCTCGGTAATTACATCGGTTTTTTTCGAAGACCCTTTTGGAGATGACTTTATGGTATCTTGCCTTGCTAGCTGAACAATAGCCTATTCTTTAATATTTAGAAAGTCTAGGTGCCGCATGTTGGCTGCAGACCGGTCTGCTAAATTAAAAATAACGGTTTACTGAAATAAAGTCACGTATCATAAAATCGTTCCCTTGCTGTCCTAACAGGTTGCTTGAAAGCAGCTCAAAGTACACAACACCTTTATAATCCCACCAAATTGACAGCATGATCTTTTTCTGATGCAATTCAGCTTTCGATATGGTTTGTGTTAGAGTTTAGTTTGCCGAGGTTTATGACATGGAGCAGGCAGGCAGTTATCTTTGAGACCTTTGTTGAATGCGCGTACCATCCGTGCACCAGCATTAGGATGGTACGTGACAAAATTAGTTTTTCCCTTTTTCACCTTTTTAATTATGTTTCGCTAGTTCATAGAATTAGGACTCGGTAACACAGGCCATGTCATAAACCCCGAAGACCCAAGCGGTGACCTGGCGAAAGACGACGTCACGAAGTCCTGGGTTTCTTTCCTAACGGTGAACAGTTAGTCACCCCCATCTTTCCCACTTTCTCTCGGGAAGAACCCAGTTCTCCTTCCAGAAAAGACACACGCCAAGGGCGCAATGGAAGGGAGGACACGAGGAAAGGGAAACGGGAGTGCTGGGACCGGACAGGGTTTTTAGAGGAGGAACAGAAGAGAGATTATGGAGACAAGACAGTCAGAAGCGTCACACATCACTACGGTCCCAGAGCCGTTATCAACCTTTGGGTGGTCCTTCCAGAGAACTTTAGACGGCACGTAGTGCAATATTCAGGGTTCGAGTTCACCCTAACAGTTTGTGCTGGTTCATCACGCTTGGACCATGATCTTTTTCGATTAATGTTATTGTAGACGATCCATTTTTCATCACCAGTGATAATTCGTTTCAAAAAAGGGGGTCGATTGCATTACGTTTGAAATGCGTATCGCAAATATTGATTCGTTGTGTTAAGTGAATTTCTTTAAGTTCATGCGGAACCCAAATATCGAGCTTTTTAACGAGTCTGTGGAGGATTTGAGCGCTCTGCCGTTGCACTCGCGTCCTTGGATTATTGCACTCTAATGTGCCGTCTACAATAACTCGAAGGACCACCCAGAAGAATTTCTACCTTTCTGAGACTGTATTGTTTCTGTGGGCCTAGCCTGTTTGCTGGGCTTGCAGAGTTAGGACTTCGCTCTATCGTTGCTCAGAGATAACTCACTTCGCAAATCGATGACGCTCGTCGACTTGCCGCTGCTAATACTAATTTCTTCCGATTGGCTGTTTTCCTGCTTCTCGAAAACACCAATCGGCGTGTAGAAGATGCATCGCGACACCCTTCTCTTGCGCCCTTAACGCGCGTTTCCTTAGAGAGGGGGTGGCGATGTCCTTTGTCAAATTGACGAGTGTCTGGCAACAGCGCGGGAATTCCTCCGAGCTCGTCACCTCGGTCCCTTGACCGTTACACGCTGACTCGTGACTCACCCCTTCGGAAGACCCATTTTTTATGGCAGGGCTAGGTTATTGAGGACGAGGGAAAGCGCCTTAGAGGCCAGAGGGTTGTAAACCCAACTTTCTCTCGCCGGGACGTAATTTTTACTAAAATTACATGCTGCCAATTATCAAAGTCCCATTCTCAAAAATAACCGTTTCGGCACGTCCGTGCCATAAACCGCTGCGCAGACAGAGTCCAAGACATCTTATGTGATTTTCAATTGTTGTGTGTGATACATTTAACCTTTTTGCAATCTCTCGCACAGTTATATGACGATTCGATTCAATTATGGCTTTCACTTTGTCATCATCAACTTCAGAAGGTCGACCAGAACGTTGGTCATCTTTAAGTGAAAAATCTCCAGAACGAAATTTTTTAAACCAATTCTGACACGTGCGTTCTGTTAAGCAATCAACACCATAAACTTCACATACATATCTCTTTGTGAGCCTCAGCCGCTTTCTTGCCTTTATGAAAATAAAAAAGTAAAATATGTCGAAAACGTTTATTTTTGCACTCCATGTTAAAATTGACCGTAAACTAACAGTTGTAAACAAAATTACACGGAATTTTTTTGTATAGTAACCTAAAAGTGTCAACTACCAAATCAGAAAAGAAAAAAATTATAACATTAACAGAAGAATAATAAAACAAACATAACGCCATCTATTTGTGCAAACCGAAATTACTTTCTTGCCAACCCAATATATTGTCACATACACTTGTAGAACTACTAGCAGGCTGATAATCTTCGTCATCAGATGAATTATGTGTACAATTTTCTATTTCATCAGGTTCGTCAATATTCGAAAGCTCGTCATCAATATTAGACAAAAGATTCACAATATTATTGTTGAGGTTTTTCGTTATATCGGTCTTTATTTAGAGGTCAAGAAACACTTACTGACTACCGAGAAGGGCCGTTACGCACTGACTCGCACCGCGTGCCTTTCCTTTTGTCTACGCGACGCGCACGGAAAAACCGTTGAGCGAGATATCGTCACTCTTCGCTAGCACCATCAATAGATGGCACCACAATCCTCAACAATTATAATTACTTGAACGTTTTTGGGCCATAATAGGCTAACAATTGTATGTATGATGTTTTCTTTTGGACGGACGAACAAGCAACTGGCTCATGTAGCTACTCTAGTGAAATTGTAACCGGCAAAACCGTTGACTGAAACAAATGACTGTTTGTATATGATATAGTGAGGTGTATGCGACTATAAGCAGTTAGAACTGGATCAAATGCCGATCATATAAGCGGAAAAATGTCTACGGTCATTATGACCGCTAGCGGGGTTATAGGTAGTTTATGTTATAATTCCGTATGGAATACATACAGAAATACAAAATTTTCTATGGACAATGTTTCAACGAAAATATGAAAAGTCACGGAGCACCAAAGTCTTAAAATAAAAAATACCAAAATAATGAAGAAAGAAAAAGTAAAAACGGTGAAAATGACCGCATCCGGGGTCCTAGTGTTAATCTTTTTGTAAAATTTTGGTCTTTCATCAAATTTCTGATTTGGAGACCAACAAATATACCTTCTTTTATCTTTTCATCAGATA